AATTCCTGTAGGTCTGGTTGTCTGTTGATCTGGTCTGTCCTCCGAGATGAACAGTTTGGTTGCAGATGTTTCAGCACCAACCGAATTGACTTCGTCAGTGCGTACCAAGCATACTGTGCGGTATTTTTGGACCCTCGACCGACGAGCAAAAAAATGATTTACGCGCGTCATTCATCAGATGGGTCCAAAAGAGGCGGCCATCAAACTGCGAACTATCAATGGTCACGGGAGGTGAATCGACATGGCCAATGTCAAACGTCACTCGCTCGTCACTCAAGGATCGAAAAAGCGCTCGGTTTGCTTATTAGCACTGAAGAAGTCATCTCGATTGGTGATGAAACATCTGCAACGAAACTGTTCAGCTCGAAGAACGAACCAAAAGCTAATTACCGCCCGCTTTTTTTGCTGTCATGCCCCCCTTCTGACTGTTCAAAAAGTGGTACCTGTCGTTGAAATTTCGGTGTGCGAAAAGGCTATGTTAGGTTTTAATGATGACGAGTGTTAGCAACGTTCTAAGGGGTCAGGTGACTTTGTGAGCTGATGGTCACAAGCAACACCGGATGAAGTACTTAACGTTTTCTGTATGAGACGACAGAGCGAGGTGTCACACTTTACATAAATTTAGTTGAGCAAGTGGGTTAACAAGATAACATTTGGCAAGTCTCGTAGAATGGTCCGTGGGAAATATATGAGCCCAAGAGAAGATTTTCCAACTAGGAAGATTATTCACCCTGTACACTCATCATTAATATCAAATATAAATCCGTCTAACCCGCCTTCGTGAGGGCTATTGAGCATAGTGTTTATTTGTGTTTTGTCGTCACCCGATGAACAGGAGTCACGTCACCTAATGCAAGTGATGTGACATTCGTGCGTGGAGTTTAAGAAGGATCTGATGAGCAGATCTTTTCTTCTGCACCAGAATCCTCTTAATATGTTTAAGAACTATATCACTTACTGTTGATGTTACTGTGTCGTTACTTCGCTTGTTGGATGATATTAAGTTTGGGATATTACTTACGTGCTCTGGGTGGATATTCCATGATTCTGGCACTTAGAGGAACAAGCATTTTCCTCGACATTCCGGTCGGCTGTACTGCATGGTTTCCTTAGGCGGATGGCCAATCATAGATGGGTTTTAGTTGAGTTTCAGCAGAAGGCGGCAAGTGTGGTTGGGGCTTGTTGGAACTAATGCACTACACGGTAGATGCCGATAGCGTACGCTGTACACTTAGTTTTACTCTTCAGTTGGTAGCTAAAGTGGGACAAGCTCACAACGAATCATGCAATCTCGGGCACAGAGAAACGGGACATCTTACAGGGCTGTCAGGCTTAGATAGTACATTCTACGTAAGGATTTGCTAAGCTCTAATCATTTGCGAAAATCTGGATCCGTCGAATTTTTCAAATACCCTTTGCAGTAGGCTGAATTGCTGATCCTATTTCACCAATAACTTTTCAATTTGCCTCAAACCGCCACTTGTGACCGAACTCCTTGATGATAGAATGTGTCTTTCTTAGTCGTCCCTGGAGTGATCTGAGTGAGGAAAGAGTAGACGAGGTTTTTCTGGCTTAACGCTACGTTCATTTGATGGGTTAAGTTTGTGTGTGCACTGTTCAAATTGATCTGTTGAGCTTACCAAACTGCTAATGGATCTTTAATGAATGTTAACAGACGGAACTATCCAAAATTTCTGAGATATCACAATGACTTTTCCAGATCTCTAGATAGCAGCACATGGAATTCATCATAGTCGACACGTAAGAGCTTCATTTGGGTGCACTACTGAATTCTAAGGGATGAAGTACAGTAACTACTTTACGGGGAGTAGTTGAGAGGCAAGGGATAAACGTCCACTGGTGTTACGGTGCGACATTTGACAGTATTGCAGTTCTATTGCAGGAGCACTGGCCTAGTTTGAAGAAGGACGATGCGTTGCAATCAAGATTATCAACAGAGGAAAGACGGACTAAGAAAGACACTATCAGGGCATGGCAAGCCGTTGATACCGGGTAACATAGAGGAAACGCATGTGCTTTCTGCGATTGCTGTTTTGATCATTTCGAATTACCACAAATGTTTTTGCCAGACGGCATTGTGCGTGGCTTTCCAAATATATTGTGTTGAACTAAGGGTAGACACTACTTCAGTGGTTATCAGTAACGTGGAAAGGCCAGGATACGAAACGGAAACCAGTAAACAGCAGGCCGTAATGACTTAACCAAAGAAGAAGAACACTTAAGAACCACAGTTGTATGCGCGCGAGGAATGGACCCACAAGCAGTGCTCTCCACACTACTCCTGGACACAGAAGGAAGTCCGCGTCATGCAACCTCTTATAAGGATAGCTACGAAGAGTGGACCACTCTTTTGTCGGAACTGATGTACCTAAAACTAGCTATGTTTAACACTGTAGATAGTTCCGCTTGCACCTCGAGTTCTTACATTGGTGCCATGACCAGCTAAGGTGCTTCGTGACGAACCCCTGGCGGGACGTGTTTGGAGAAGTGGACGTGAGGAACTTCTTGAAAGAATTCGGGGATGTGGCTGAGGCGGTTGGAGTCGATACCGACTGGGTGAAGCAGGTGGCCATGCGGAGTCTCCTCAGGGGCAGAGCAAAGGCAGTCCTAGAGGCGGCGTGAAGTGGCCCTGTCAAGTTGGAATGGGCAGCCGCGAGGTCTACGTTGGTCTCCGGATTGGACACCGGCCGACCGCCAGGAGGCGATGCGGTGATTTAAGGCGGTACGGCATGATGCAGGAGCGGATCTTCTCTTCTATGCAGTACACATAAGTAGCTCGTTGGACTGGGCCTTGTTAATAATGGACAAACCGTCGAAACAGGAATTACTGGTGGATCACTTCATGTCCGGTCCCCCACAACCAACCGCGGAACACGTCCGATTACGAACGCTACTCAGTGAATACGGCTGGATGATTTGGCGCAGGTTACTCAAGAGATGGGCGATGCACCACTCGTTGCGCTGAAGAAGGAACACCAAGGAGGCGTAGAGCGGATGGACACATCGGAACGGATGATGGAAGAGCTCGCTGAAGACGTCAATGGACTTCCCGTTCAGCGCTCGGAGGGGCGAACAAGGGTAGGTTGATTCCTTTACGGGAAACCGGGACAATGAAAAAACGATGTTCGGTGTGGCGCGCTGTTGCTCCTGTACCAATTAAACGCTTTCGACCTCGTTTTTTTCTGTGCTCGAGGAACGTATACTCGGGGCGCTGAGTAGGGGGGGCAATCATAGTAACGGCGGAAGTAGAGGGAACGATGGAACCGTGTCTTTTGGAAACTGGTGTCGCATTGTCGCCGATCAAACATCGGCGAGGCTAAAGCTTCAATCGTGCTCCATCGTCGTGAGAGCTGTTGGCGTTTACTCAGTGGGCATTGACGGTATGGCCGAACACATCGAGGGAATCGGGAGATGGAAACAAATGCACGTCTTCATCGTGTCAACACGTGCGATACAAACCATATTGGGTCAGGTTTCCTGGACCTCACCTAGGCCAACCTCGATCTAAACGGTGGTAAATTGCTGTCTGAATAGGAGTCGTTTCCATTCATCGGCCGTGGAGAAACGTTATCCTCGCAATAAGTCGTTGCCGCCTTACATGTGAGCCCGACCTTGCAGTCGCTGATCGCCAAGTCTCGTCCATTATTTAAAGATGACGACAGCGTGTATGGATTTTGTGACTGAATCGAGTACACCATTCCGCTAAATTGCCGGACGGATCGACCCCAAGGACCTTGAAGGATACCGATCCATCTGGAGGCTGAAGTGAAGAGGCAAGTACAGGAGATGTTGGACGCGGATGTGATTGAAGACCCGCACTGCCCATACGATTCTTCAGTGGTGTTGGTGAAGAAGGTTGCTGGAAAGTATCGTTTCGACGTGGACTTCCGAAGGTGGAATGAAATTTCCTTGAGTCATTTCGTTCCAGTGCCATCAGCTGCTCACATTTTTGCTAGATGTCAACAGTCTATGATATTCACAGTTTTTAATCTGAGCTCTGGATACTGGCACCTAGCGATCAAACGAGAAGATCGAGAGAAACTGGCGTCTACCGTCGGTGAGAAACTACATTATCGGGAACTCCGTTTACATTCCGACGTTTAATACTGCGCTTGTAGTATAGCTTAGAGAACGTGGCAGCGTACGGGGATGATATCTTGGTGTATAACCAATCGGAGGCCGAGCACAGAGGATTCATCAGTCAGAACTCCGTATAAATGGACCGAATTTCCAGATCGGAAAAGCTTGTCACCTCATTGGGCCCTAAAGCGGGACAAGGTGAACTGGAGCCAATGCGTCAGAAAATATTGACAACACAAGGCACCCAGTTCTTACCTCAAAGCGCACTCTCAGAGCGTTTCTGGGCCGTGCTTGGTGCCACCTCAACTTCATCATGGAATTCAACAACAGTCTATCAAATATATATCGAACGTTGGAGTTCTCGCAGTTGAATCGCAGTTGCATAAAAAATTAAACTACATATTGGTAAGTTAGACAAAACAACAAAGCATTTTTGTGAGTAAACAATCCTTTTAGCATGGTGGTTACAAATATAAATTGAAGCTGTTTAGAATACTCTAAATGTTGAGTTAATCTCTGCGGGAATTTCAGCACTGACCACACCTAAGAGCGGTGGTAACTAGTGATGTATAGATCTGATTTTTAATCTGATTTTTTTCCATTTGACTGCGTTATGACCTCTAGAGTCCTGATTTATCACCACTGTTTTTTCTCTGTCACGCCAGAGTTTATTGCACCCCCGAACTTCTGACGCACAAGTTGAGTGATTTTTCTCATCCATCACGTGATTATCGCATAATCTACATGTGAACCGGATGTATAATCAAACCTCTCAGTGACAATAGGGCCACGGGTTATGAGATACTATCATGTGTTTGGAAGCCTGAAACACACCGAAATGCTCAATGAGGTCGCAGTTTGTTGAATGAAATGCGTGCTAAAGCTGCTGTTCTATTTTTATGCATAAGCGCTGTTACTACATTGTAATAGATAACTGCGGATTATTGCAACGAATCCCTCTGAACAATTCCCCACAGAATACATTTCGTCAGCTGAATAAAGGTGAGCAATTGCACTCCGCTAACTTGACCTGCTGTTTTTGTATACGGGACAATGAATTTTCAAATACTCTTCCTTATGTTGTGTCTCAGGTGACCATGAAGCACAAGCACTACATGTGCCGTCGCCACAGCACGAAATGAGCGAAGGTAACCTGGAGAATTCAACCAATTTATGGGCTGGTATGCACCACAGTTACTGTCAACCACCCCTTTGGGAGTGTTGCACTAAACTAGTTGAACAACATAGAGATGTTCCCATGACAGCGGCTACAGGTTTGTCAGGCGAGGTGGTTCCAACAGACGTGCTCAACACAAAGGTGTGGTGGAAAAATTCGTTGTCAATTCCAGGTTTTGCCCGAGCATATGTGAATAACCAGTCAATGCAGCTCACCCGAGCCACTGTGAATGAGCTTTCGGCTACCTACTCAACGTTATCCGCCTTATCGCTTCCGGTAGGGCTGACTAGCGCTCAGCAGTACAGCTGCTCTTCCGACCGCCTGTCAACGTCACCTCTGAGGAGGTTATCGTCACTGCATTCGATTTCAGTGTGCAATCGCATGGTTACCAAGCGCAGCAATCTCAGGAGAGCGGTGTTCAGTGTCCCTCAGCGGAGAGGCCTGGAAACAGCATTCAGCCAACATGCATACATCGCAAAACCAGACAGACATGAGCTGGCACAGCGTCTGGGATTAAAGGACAGTCAGGTGAGAATAATTGAACGTTTTTGCTGTAGGTGCGTAATTTTTATTTGGTGATCTTAATGAGTTAATATTGCCGATTTCAAACTTTTATTGAGCAGGGCATTGTCTAAGTACAAACGTAATTGCTTAAATGATGTGCTTAACACTGTCACAGTGGGTTAAGCGTAATCGAAGTACGTATGGATAAATAAATAACTATTCATTTATTCGCAATGACACCAAGGAACTTGTCAAACATTCAGTTTTTTGCCCGTTTTGATGAATACGCTTCGCAATGAATGGTTTGATGTGCTAACTCCTTGGAGAACAAGTGGCAGCATGAAGTACAAGTCCTCCTTGGTTCTGTTGTAGTGTCACGTAGCTGGCTCACCAGGCTGAAAACCTTGAATGATTCAGCAATGTGATGGTAGCAACTGCAGTCTGTAGTCACTTGCAGTAAATCTGCTGTCTGTTTCGAATAACACAGCTCACAGATGATGGAGGGTGCGTTCTCGGTCCAACATATGCTTGCACACAGTGAGATAACGTTAATAAACATGGTGTGGGTTCGGTGGAGACGGGTGCATACGCCAACGACTACCATGACATTTCGTATCAGAGAAACAGTGGAAGTGGTACTTGCTCAGGAGGTAGGACATACCTGCTCTGTGTTTCATTTAACAAGTCAATTGTTCACTAGGTCGCACGCAAGCAGTGTGGAAAATAAACTAAACGTGTCTCACTTTTGAGATTCAGAGTGTAGTGTATCAAGCTTACAGTAGATATATCATTGTCCATGGACGTGCGGGAGGCCTAAGGCCCTCATAATCAAAGCAATGTTAACCATAAATTATGTAAGCGTGGTGCCCGCGCCTGCAATGTGGCGTACAATGAGTGAGCCACATTGAACGACATACTGTTACCGAGTTGAGTACTTCATTAGCAACATGGGAAAGCCCACAAGTGGCCAAGTTACGTCTATGAATATGGAGTGCACTAACGGCTAAACGTTGGTCGGATAGAGAAGGGTGAGATTAAGATGACTGGTACGTCAGCAATGTCGCCTCCATTGTCTGCAAATCGGATGTAACAGTGGACTTCTACTACCAGTTTTTGATGGATTTCGGGACATTCTCCATTTCCTCAAGGTAGTGGGTCTCTAAATGGCCTGCAAGTCCCACAAAGCAACATAGGGCTCACCTATAAGTGGCGCCAGACTGGCCTTCCCATTAGTGCACCATTCGTTTTATATTTGTATTTTCTAAAAGTATAGTGTTGAGGACAATTTTTGTCTTGAACATGCTATCACAGTAGGTAGTGCTTTGCCAGGCCGTTAAACTGAATTCATCAAATATCCACCCACATTGCTGATGTATGACGACAGGATCGGTTTGTCCAACGGCTCGTTCACAATGATATGTGTCTTAGCACACATACAATCTTGACCAGGCGTTTTGTGCACGTTCCATAGAACATTTGCATCAGTTGACTACCGTACTAGGCGTAGCCTGCTGCAATATCGCCCATCAATTGAGTCGGCCTCAAACTAGCTGCGGAGAGACTGTTTACGCACTGCGGCTAAGGCTGGTAACGACGTCCCACGAAATAAATTCTCATTCACCGCAGTTGTCATATAGTGCGACCTGTTGACTGAAGCGCATCTGGTCAGCAGGAATGAAGGATGTCCGCCAACATACAGCATAAAATTGACCATGCCAGGTTCATTGGAGGCTGTCTTTTGGGAACATTTCGTCACCTTGAGTGGAGGTGGGAGATAAGTATGTCTTCGCAGCAAACGGTGTCACTGACATAGTGCAGCACCAACCGGTATCGTCCTTGGACCTATTATGGTCATGAAAGTCCCCATTACTGGCAACCTTATGACGGTGGGGCGATATTCAACACGGCGCTTGAAATTTGACCGACACTATGGCATGGTTGATATCGGATAGTTTATGGTGAAATAAAATTTGGCGCCGCCCACATGATTTTTAAAGGATTTGTTCACAGTGATCAGCAGACCCTAATCTGCAGTTTGCCAGTACCGTGATGTGATCACCTACTGAAATGTATCTTTGCATTTAACAGCACCCCGAAGTGGTAGTCTGAAGAACTTTGATCTATTCCACACAGTTGGGTGCATGGTTTTACCCACTACCATGTGTGCATTCGCCCTGAATCATTTTGCTAGTGACATCATAAAAAGTCAGTTTATTAACTAAGCGACAGACCCGAAGGTATCCATGCGGTATGCAGGAAGCCACGCAAATGCATCATGCTTCCTATACACCCGTTCTGGCGTACTCGTCCACCTTACCACAGCATCAGTGGGGTGTGATGTGGTTCACATTATCGCAGAACTTGCACGTGAAGCTACTAAAAACCACCACCGCCCCATTCAGTTGAATGAACGCGCACAAATAGAAGTCGAATGAACCGTGAATAGGCAATCCGGCCCCGGTTTAATGCATATTCATTGATCACTGTCACACAGTGAAATCATGCCACTGCTGAATGACTGCAAGTTCGTTCGCGTCAGACTAAGTCATAGTGCCAAAGTAAACGTGACAGTGGGAAACTAATTAAACAATCAATCAGCCCTAACACGAGAACATGATGCAGCAGATGCACTGATTTCGCACCAACCTCACCCTATTCCTGTCAAGCAGACTGTTGTGATTTGCCATATTATACATACTTGCCAGAACAAACCCCTTCACTTCTTAGTGTCAAATTCGAAGGGTGTGGCTAATTAGAATTTTGGAAAAGAGGGTAGTAGAATTTGACAATATGGAACAGTCCCGGAGAAACGGATTACACAACGTACGTAGTGAGCAGCTGCTTAAATTTACCCTATCTTATGGTTCAGAAATATATGCTTTATGTGATTGAGAATGGCGACGCAGACGTCTGTGCTGACTTCTCAAACTTACACCACATCCTGGATTGTCTTGCTACCGGAACGCTTACGCGTAGCACACAGTGAGGACAATGCAGCCCGAACTCGAAAGGGTTTCCGTTGGGCTACCTACCGTTTTTGGTTGCGTGTGCTACTGAAGTTGGCTTTTAAATGTAGCAGTTTGAAAAGCACCAATCCGTAGCATGGCTGGCGGTATCCGTTTCCGGGTTTGACTATGACCGGGGCCTCTATAGGATAGCCGCGGGACCACTGCGTCTATAAATGGACCCTGAGTGGCTCGCTCTGCACCACACACAGCCTCATGCTCACACCCCATAATCAGTGTAAGCCCAAAGAAATAAGACCGCTAAGCACGTGGATGGCAGTCAAGCTTCATTAACATAGCTGGCCCACACTCCTACAACATACACAGCAGCAGGATACCTGTCTATTTATGTGGGGAATCATGCGTACTCGATGTACACAAGGTGGTGTCTTGGACGTAGTCCGCTCCACACTGGAGGTATCCATTATGGATCCATTATGGTGCCAACCGCTGGTAGTGCCCGCAATATGTGTACACCCTTTCAAACTTCATCGGTGTAGATGTGAACACGAAGATTTGTTACTAATACTAGTTTATTTTTGCAGAATTTCTAGTATTGGGAAGTCACGCTGCTGTTTAAAGTATTTGACTCAGACGGATTATTCATTCTTAGGCTATATGCAATGGCTAGATATACAGAAGATCGATAATGAGTCAACCTCCGGCATTCTCCATACAGTAAACTGACGTTTTGGATGATAGTTGGGCGCTTTCTGTTGTGTCGCATCCGACCGTTCGCACCGCACAACCACAAAGAGAACACGAATACGAGCCAGGACCGAACTGTATGCATGAGAACACTGCTTCCTTATATAGGGTATATTAGGGGATGAAGCAAAGTTACCAAAACACATCGGGACACATCCAACAGCACAGGAGACTGAATGATACAAGCGAATAAGAAATGGTTAAAGAAATAACCAAGCACGCAAGTCCGAGTAAACGGTATTATCGGAAGTGGGCCGCTGAGATGAGATTCAACACGAACGCCGAACACCAGCCAATCAAAGCGAAGGTATGGTGCATTTAAACAAATGTCAAGAAACAAACGATGGTGAAACGAAAGCAGCCAACTAAGCATGGTCACAAAAATGCATGTGCTATGCGCATCCTCCTGACATTTTCGTAGACTATTTGAAATGGGCTAGGTGCGTGGATCCCAGGGCTGCTTTTCACGTACAAATTCCGATACGTTCATTGAGATGCTACTCAGAAAACGCTCATCAAGCCAGGCATTGTGAACACGCAGCTGGTGTATACAGAAGACTGTCAAGTTTCACAACATAAATACAAGGGGACTTTGAACCGACAAACTGTGATCTTCATCAAATACGGTTTCAAGATTTTAGCTTCGCTTTTGGTCAGACATTAACATGCTTGTGTTCAGTAACGCGCAAACATAATGTTTGACCGTTTTTCGAGTCAGCCCGCTTTCCACTTGTCCTTATTTAATTTGAGTTTCGTTCACATTCAACCAAGCCAATGTTGCCTTGTTCCTCCGGCCCTTGCGATTTTCATCAAATCTCTTGTGGGATACTCCAAAGGCCTCCTGCCCAGTGGTTCCGTGTCGAGTTTGTTCATTCTAGCTACCAGCTACCACCACGAACCTCGGATTGGAGGCCTAATTGCATTGCTCAGGACTATGTGTAGAGAACTAAGTCCAGGAAAGCGTTCGAACGTGTTCGAATGTTCCAGGCCAGTAGCACAGGTTCGATGCTGTATTTTGTCATCACTAGGCCAGTGATACACGAAGGATACTGCGAAAGCTACGCTTCTGAGTCATTAGGAAACTACTCTGCCTATAGCAATCCAGGGCAACAAAACGGTCTGCTCTTACTCCCCAAGAAACATTATGAGGTGGTCCGTAGGGTCTGTAGCATGACAACTAAGTAAGCTTTTTAGATATTCACTCGTATTCTAATGGCTTAGCTTTTGGTCCAAGCAGGAGTACGCGGATAGCACGTGGCCCTTGTTTGCGCTTATTGTGATACATTCACTTCCGGGTGCATCGTGCTTACA